TTTAAAATTTTTTTTTTTAAAAAAAAATTTTCCCCCCCTTAAAAGTAAAAAAAAAAAAAAAAAAAAAAAAAAAAAAACATTATTACGTAACATAGCAGTCCTTTGCCCCCCTTTTGCACATGGCGCTCAGTCTTAAGAGTTTGTCTGTCTGAACTGAAAGTCAAACTCGCACTTAACGGAGCTGATGCTGTCGATGCTGGGCGTACTGTCCACCTGCGGATGCCTCGTCTCCTGAGGGAAAGTTTCTGATCGCGGGATGCGGCCTAAAGACCGCAACGGATTCTGTTCCAGATCTCCAACGACTTTCTTGAACTCCGGGGAGGTAAATCTTCGGAAGAGTTTATTAGTCAATGCTGAGAAAGTTGTTGGAGTTGAGGCAGAAGCTGTTGTGGCAAACGGAAGCGGTTCGGTGAAGCTCATCGACTCTTTGCGCCTCCTCACCGTCCTGGATTTACGCACAGGCACCAGAGTGCGCTCTGGAGGTGTGGGGCTAAGCATACTGGTTGGCAGACTGCATCTTTTCCTGTAGTAGCACTCGTTAAATCTTCCCACGCGGAAAGATTTCTCCCTTCCCCTCTCAGCCTCACATTTGTTGGGAAGAATGGGAGTCAGTAAGATGCCAAGAGTGGATGGCGCACAGGGATGCGGCATGTTTCTGTTTGGCTGGGGGGAGAAGAAAATTAGCTTTTCAGCATCACGTCCGTTTAAGAGAGGGGGCAAGTGATGAGTAGAGGAGGGCATCTTTTCCAGGGAGGTGCATTGTTTAGAAATGGGTTGATTGTAAATCCCTGGTCGGGGCACAGGAGTGCGTGCTCCAGAGAAGATCATATCCTGTAGACCCAAAGAGGATTTATTATTTTCTCTTTCAAACTCCATCGGTGGCAAACGACTGGGCTTTATCTGAGACATTTCTGCACGGCCACTCATTTTGAGGACTTCAAGTTTACTGGCCAAACTATCAACTTTTCCCTCAATCTTGCCTTCATCAACCTCACGGCTCCTCTTGGAGTTATTGGTAAGCGCAGAAATGCACTCTGTGTGACCGAGGAACTTTGCCACTTCAACAGCAGAGTTGCCAGCTTTGTTCTGCCTGTCTATCTGCAAACCTAACCTCTTGAAGGCTCTCGCCAAAAACTCAACAACTAAGGTGTGATCCGCTACAGCCGCGTACATCAACGGGGTGTTCCCCCACGAGTCCAGGATCTCTGGATCTGCGCCGTTCTGGACCAGGATCTTAACCGCGTCCAGGTAGCCTTTCTCGCAGGCGTAGCTGAGCGCTGTGCGTCCGTTCCCATCTTGATAGTTGACGCTGGCCCCCCTGTGCAGCAGAAGCTCTACGAACTTACATCTGGTCTGGCTGTCGGGCAGCAGAACGGAAGAGATGAGGGGCGTCTGCGCGCCGTCCGCTGTGGAGTCAACGATTTCTCCATCCAGCGCGTCCAGAACAAACCTGGCCAAGTGGACTTTATCCTTGGACATCGCATCCAGGAGGATTTTTGTGCCTGTCTGCCCAGTAGTTTTGAGCATGTTTCTTCAACAAGACGAAGATTTAACTAAGAAAACTCATGTCTGCTTGTCTGCTTCCGGGGAAAGCGTCCCGACAGACCCAGCGATCCTAATATATAGGCTAGAGAAAGCGAGATTTCCGGGGGCAACTCGAGCATAATTATCGGGCTTTGTTCTGCTTTCTAATGGAAATACGATGTTTATAATAATAAAGAGACTCTGCGATGGAGCGGACGGTGCTTGTGAGAGGCGCTGGCATATAAATTCACTCCACACTTGTTGAATGAGATGAAGGAACATAAATTTGGAAAGTAAATTGGAGCGTGTGCTGTCCACTCACCGCGTTTGGGTCTGGAGACATCAGGTCACCATCAGCTTGAACTGTTACAAAACAAACTTCATAGCATAGTAGTGCATAGCTGAAGTGGAAAATGAGACACTGTACAAATATTTTTATACTACATACTAATCTGAAAAGTGTGGCGTGCATTTTTTTAAACTGCTCTATTTCAGATAATTTTGCAATTGCAGATGGAAGCTTTTGTCATGTCTATACCTGCTTTTCACAATATTTTTGTTTGAAGATAGTTCAGGTTCAGTTAGATAAGATGGATTTTCTGACATGAAACATGAAATCTTCCTACAGATTCAGACTTAGAATAAATCAAACATAAATATGCACACTCAATTTCTGCAGAGTTAAATCAACACTATGCCGAGTTTATTTTTTAAATTTTGGCAGGAAATCTAATGTTTTTGATTGCTGATTCAATGTTGCATGACTCTGTGCTTTTGTGTTTAATGATGTACAGCACTTTGAAATGCTTTGCTGCTTAAATGTGCTATGCAAATAAAATTTGATTGATATTTTTGGTCCTTCTCAGAATTAGCATTAACTCTTACAGAATTATTTCAACAATAGTTTGAATAGTTATAACTATTTCAACTGTTCAAAATTACTCTATTTCTTGTTGAATGAACTCTGAAAGAGTTAAATTGACAAATTCTGATAAGGACCAGATAGATTTGGCATAGTGTTGATTTAACTCTGCAGAATTCCAGCATTTTATTGTTTCTTTGGGGTGGGGGTTCCTTTCCTTTCCTATGTGGGTCTGTAATGGTTTTTCTGTCATTATGTTCTCCTTCCTGACTCGTGAATCTCTGCAGCTCCTCCAGAGTTACCACTGGCCTCTTGGCTGCTTGTCATGGTTTATAGGTTTGTGGTTGAGCTGTTTTCAGATGATTTGTTTAACACCGCTCCATGAAATCCTCAAAGATGGGATATTGCTATATGCTTAACCTGATTTTCACATCTTACCCTTTTCTCTGACCTGTTCAAACCTCTGAGGGCTTCACACAAGATCTGTTTTTATAAGAAGATTAAATTAGACACAGATTAACGCCATTTAATGTAATTAGGTGACCTCTGACTTGCAATTTTCTTGCATTGAATTTATTTTAGGGCTATTGGAGAAAGGGGAGTTTGATTACAAATGCATTCCGCAGTTCTCAGTTGTAATTAGAAAATGTATATAGTTCCACTTCACAAATATGTGTTGGTTACATAAAATCCTCACATTGCAGTTTGTAACTTAAGTGTGATAAAATGTGCAAAAGTTAAAGGAGTGTGATTACTTTATCAAGGCCCTGTAAAATAGACACAAATCAGCCAAAGGTAATCGTCTCATTTTTACACCTGGATTTATTGATACACGTACTATAAAACAGTATTAAAGGAGCTGGATAACAACAGTATTGTTAATGCTATAAGTCCAACAGTACAATATAAATACAAAAACACACACAGAATGTCTGTTGACAAGCTACAGTTCAAATAGAAAACAAAGAGATACAGTAGAAACTAAGGGAATGAAATCAGGGATGTTGCTCTGCAAAAATAATGTTTTTTTTTCTTTTAGGACAAACTCAAAGTCCAAGGTTACAAGTTTTCACACAACAGAAACAACTAGTGCAAAAAAAGCCTCTAACATAATAATCTTAAACTACACATTATCTAATATATATATAATATATATTTATTTATATATACCTTCATACAAATAACCCCTTAATTTGGCATTTTATCATTCATAAAATAATTTAAACATCCTAGCAGACACTGAGTGGCACATCTGAAAGCGATGGAATAAACTTTAAAAGCACTTTTTACTCATTTTTATCTCTGTTCTAGATATGTGGTGAGCTTTAGATTGTGTGGTGTGGTGCAGTGAAGGGAAACAAAACAAAAGGATAAAAAAAAAAAAAAAAGAGGCCAGTGCTTGATAAATGTCCTTCCCCGACATGACAGTCTGTCCCCAAGCTCTTAAAAGAAAGAACACTGGTCAGAAAGACAAGTCATTTAATTACATTCCAGCAGAATATATACATAAACACCTCTTCTACCATTATTTATTACAGCAGAATAAAACAGGAAAAAAAAACATTCTCTATAAAAGGCCAAAATCCCAACAAGTGCTTTTGTCCCCCTTTAACATGTTATATTAAGTCTTTGTATTATTTGGGTAAACATTTGGATGCCGTCTCTTTTCTGTATTCATGTTAGTCAGGGTTGTAGATAAAAGCCATCTAAAAACCCACAAACAGTATTCTGGTGCAATTCGGCTCAATTTTAAAGGGAGTTTTAAGTCTACAAACTAAAACAAGTGTGTAATGCAAAACAAAGTTTCACTTTATCTTGAAATAGCTTTTATTGCCTCTGGTCATGTAAAAACAAGTATAAAAACACCCCACTTTTTGGTTACTTCTTTCTGTATTTGACCCTCTGTTTGGGTCACCTTTAGTCAAAACTATCATTAGATCTTTTTTGGGGGGAAAGATGAATTTACTTTTGCATAGTATGTATGATCCTGTGGCCCCAAAGGATTTATACAGTTATACTCAATAAATTAGAATCTGTGATACAGCGAACCTCATTTGACAGATTGAAAGTAGCTTTAGAAAATTAGCAACCTTTTAAGCAGGTGTTAAATTATTCTTTTCGTTAAGCCCACATTTCTGGATTAAAGTTCCTTTATTGGTCCAATGTGATATTCTAATCTTAAATGTAATGTTTTGATTAGCCGCAGGTGGAAAATCATCATAATTAACAAAGGTTTAAGCTTTAGTGCGTCTCACTTGGTGAACTGAGTTACTAAAATAAATTAGCTTTTCGATAACATTCTGATTTATTGAATACGAGAGAGATGCATTCAGCTGGAATCTGATAAATGAAGTCTGTGCGAAAGTTATTGCACCATCCATTTGACTTTCTGTATCAAATAGTAAATCAACATAAAAATCTGACTGAATATTAGCAACAACTGATTACCCGTCATCCCTTTACAGGTATCCAACTCAACAAGACATCAATATTGGTGAGGAAGGGGTCCTCTCTCTAAGAGTTACCTTTTAATAGTTTGGTTTTTTAAGATACATTCTTACTGAAAGACAGAGAATCATACAGTAGTGCACTGCTACATTTCCCACATTGAACAACCTATCATATACAAAGTGCTCAGGACAGGACTGGTGGTGTGTGTACAGTGTATTTCACAAAGTTTATTCACTTGTGCTGGAGTAGCAGAGTCAAACACCTCCTCTCCCCTCTTTACACACTGAAACTGTGAGTTTATTGGGTGCCAATTAAAACTAAACAGGAAGAGATATCTGCTGTGTGTGAACCATGATGTGTTTGTGTGTGTGTGTGCTTGATTCTACCAACAGCTGAAGCTTTTGCCGTGTAGAAAACTCACTGAAGTCAAGGTGCTGCGGAGGAGGAAGGGATGTGTCTGTTTTTGTTGCTCAGTCCGCAAAGTAACGTTTCCTTTCCCCGACAGAAGTGGTCGCGCCCCCGGTGGAACAGCGACAAGCAGCAATGGCTCAGTGGTACAAAGTTGATTGGCAGGATAAAAGGTGCAGAAGACACGGGGCGTGGCTGGAGTGAACAAAGGAAAAAAAGCTTCCACGTGTTTGAGTCAAGATTAGATTAACATTAGACTGTTTAGAGAGAATGATCTCTGCACTGTAGAGGATGTCCTGCAGGGGGAGTGTTTCTGCACCGCTCTGTGTGTGTGTGTGTGTGTGTGTGTGCGTGAGTACGAGTGTGCGTCAGTGTACATGTGTGGGCCCGTGACGCGGTCAGTCGCTCAGACCACCGTGGCAGGTCTGCGGTCCATCTCCTCCTCCAACTTCACCATCTGCTGGATGTCCTTGGCCTTTGGGGAGATAGAAAACAGTGACTCAGACGCAGATGTGACTGGAATGTGGAAGCGCAAACATTTTGCAGAGAATTCATCCGTCTTTTCCTACAAATTCCCGTTTACAATCTCAGTCTGCCGTTTACGACTCTCGCATAAGTTGTTTCGCTGTGCAGATTATCAGAGTAAAACAAATCCTATCATGCTGGTGATGGTTGTCACAAAATGTCAACAGATGGATGTTGTCACATGCTATGAATGTAAATGATTGTGAGCTGGAATGAAAACGCATCACATCAGGTTGTGAGCTGGCTTTTTTTTGCTTCGTAATGGCTGGTGAGTCATGGTGATAAATGAGTCAAGCTGCTAGTTGGCATGCCTGACACCTTCAAGTGCTGCAGACTGAAAAGACAGGATTGGATTTTACAATAGAGAAGTTTGTTTTCTTTTAAGCCGTACCACTTTTCTGCTTTAATTTGTAAAGTCATTTCAAATACTTGGGAGAAACAAAAGCTTTATCAATGAAAACAAAGTCAAATTTTGAGAAGGCTCTCCAGATATCACCACAGAGAGACAAAAGAGATGCACAAAGGGAAACATGCCCATGAAATGAAGCACAAAGCTGGTATCAGAGGTAGAGCTAACAGATGATGCCTACCTTGAACCTGTTTGTTTGCATGGTGTGATTTCAAAAGCTGTGACGGAAGAAGCAAATCATAAAACAAAAAATGAGCATACATGTTAGACATGTACAGATCTTGTGACAGATGGTGAAAGAAAATGGGACATGACCTCACACAGCATCCCTCACATTTTTTGCACAACCATGGTACAAATGTATAAAAAGATTAAATCTTGACATGCAGTAGCACAATTTCACACTCAAATTACGAAAATCCAATCTCTTATATCACATTTATTATTAGGACAAGTGTTAATGTTTTTAATCACTGCTTCCAAAAACAATGACAATAATTCTTACAAAATTGATGTAGCTGTAGTACTTTTATGTCGCCTTTATAAACTGATTAGATTGAGAATCTTAGATTGACATGACATAATCTGGAAGATTTATAGTAATCATCTAACTTAACCAAAATGTTTCTTCTGACAATAAGTAAAGCTAAAATAGGGTGATACCAGCAGAAGCATGCAAAACTAGGTAGTAAGCACTTATTAGAGGAGTTTAATTGCAAATATAAAAGCCTTGTTACTGAAAACACACTGTTGATATCCTATAAGGAAGTTTGGTTTTCCACTTAAATCTACAGTTTGTGAAATTCAGGCTCCTTTAGTTCATTATCATCTGCTTACCTGCTCGTTGTGCTTCTCCAGTTTATCCAACTGCTCCGTCTGATTTTTCTCCAGCTGCTCCATCTCCTTCTGATGTTTCATAGCCAACTGGAAGCAAATCAGAACACGAACATTTCATGACTGGAATACAAAATAATCTAGAGACTTACTTGATAGCACTGCTTTAACTTGTTAGTTACTTATGAACATTTCTCATGATGCTATAAATGTATATAATGTATTTTTTACTACTGTTGTTAAAGTAGTTTATGTACATCATAGCAAACATACCCTCTTCCTCTCATCCAAAAACTTCTTGGTGTTGCTGCAGTTTAACTCCCGCACTCTCCTGAATGACAAAAGCATTCACCTCATAAGAAAAACAAGTAAATATTTCTACTCCAGATAATACTTTTATAAGGCTTTGTATTGTGACCCACCTCTCTCGCTCTGCCTTGTTTTTGATACTTTTGTCTTGGCTGATTGCTTTACTGTTCTCCATGGACATCTTAGCCTGGTTGGCACGCATCTCTTTGCTTTGCCTGAGTTGCACATTTCCAGGAAAAAAAAAAGACTAAATGCCACTGTTGCTCCTCTACTGTGTTTGGTAGAATTCTGAGACTATAGCAAGTGAATACAGAGTGTGTGTGTTTGTCTGTCTGTCTGTCTTACCTTTCATGAATGAGTTTGAGCTGCAGGGTCTGCTGCTCCTGGACACTACAAAGGAGTTTCTTGAGGTGCTCACACTGCTGGGTAACATGACTGTCCTTCATCTCGCGCTCTTCGCTGCTGTGACTACTGATCAGCTCCGACCACTCCTTGGTGTGTTGTGCTGTGATGTCTTTCACCTGCCCCCACACACGCGCACACGCACACGCACACACGCACACACACACACACACACACACACACAGACAGACAGCACAGTTGTGTATTGATTGTTTTTCCAGTACGACCATCTCTAGGAGACATTAGTTTTTGATACCTTTGCTTTATGATCTGTGGTGAGAGTTTGGATCTTATCTTCTGTCTCCTTCTTCAGCTCTTGACAGTTGTTCTCCCTGTCAGTAAACACAGAAGTGAGAATCAAACTCATCTTGTACCTGCAGATTCACACTCTGCAGGTTCCAGAGTGTGAATCTGGAACCTGCACATAATGTTTTTATTATGTGAAAACATTATTATTATGTTATGTTTTCACATAATAATGATCTTGCTTGTCTCATGGTTGTTTTCTTACCCTCGTTTCTTGATGGCTTTCTCCAACAGTTTATCCAGATTAGTCTTTTCCTTTTCATGGTGGGACACCATCTTATCCACCTGAGTGCAATGGGCTTTCTGCATTGCATTTTGATCCTGTTGTGTACACAGAGTAAAACCCTAAGTGGATGGATGTTTGCCTTTTGCACCACTATAGCTTTGATTTAACAGCAACATTTGAAACAAAACAGGCAAGTTGTCATCGTCTTTCAGTCAACAGATGTTGCTAATATTCATATGTTGCACAACAAGAGTAATACCGTGATAATAATTAATGAGGTAGGGTGACTGAGCGAGCATCCACCATGGTCTCCATGGAGATAGCTGGCCAAAACAGAACTTTAGCAAGTCTAATTTCTTCCTAAGCATTCGTCACGTGGTCGTCTTCTGTTTGTTTACAAAGGACTGTCTGTGTTTATGTGAGCAGGCATAAAATGATGAGGCAGAAGATGAAAGGTTGCAGCATTTCCCTTGTTGTGCTTCTGGTTTTCTGAGCTTCAATCGCCATCAGGAATAAGCAGCAGCCACTTTGCATTACCAACAAACTCCCACCTACCTTTGAGTGTTTCTTCTTTAAAGCGTTGAGCTCCTTCTGCTGCTTTTTAATCAGCTTTAGGTAGCTCTGCAGAGAGAAACACAGATGTAAGGTCGTCTTATGCTGGCCATAATGAGGGCTGACACTGAACAGCGTGTACAAGTCCTTGCAAAAATATTCCTACCCCTTAATCTTTCCCACATTATAACCTAAAAGTGTTAAAAAATGTTTTCCACTTAACACTTTTTAAAAATGTATTTTCACTTTCACCCTCTCATACCCTTTTAACTAGTAAAGCTTGAATACTTTTAAGATACAAATTTAGGCCATCACAACCTCCCACGTTTAACTTTCAGTGATTTTAACTGCAGCTTCTTTAGGTATTTTTATGACAAGACACATCTGGTAGGCTCTAATTATTAGAGTTTATCACAAACGTAATTTGAGTTGAGCGATTTTATTCCCATTTTAGTGTTCAACCACTATAAAATTGTCAAAAGATGTCTATAGATAGTATATGGTATTTGAGCTATAAAACACTGAGATAAAATTAAGTATGGATGATTTGATTCCAGTTTTTTAAATCACATTCTGTACTCCTACATAATAACCTGGGTTTCATACCAAACTATGGAAACTCGACCTAGGCAGATTAAATATTCATGTTAGTTAAGCTGTGGAGAACAAATCCCTCATTAACCCAAAACACAAATGCTTCATAAGCAATAAACTAACACAAAGTAGGACATAATTGCTGGTTCTCAAATTTTTTGTTGTACTAGAAGATCTAAAATGTGAGACATAAATATGTAATTTTCTCCTTTTATTCTAACACTCCTTCATAAAATCCAATGCATCTAATTGCCTTCAGAAATCAGCTGTGTGTAACTTGATAAGTGCAGATGGTTCTGTGAAGGCATCTGAGGTTTATTGAGAACAAACAGCAACACAGAAGGTGGGATTGGGTTATAAATCAATAGTCTAACAAAACACTTTGAAGTTTAAGGTAACGTGGAAAAGGTTAAGGAGCAAAAATCCTTTTGTAAGGTATTTTATTATTTAATTAGGCTTTTTTTTTAAATCTTAAACCCTGAAATCCACATTAATCACAAATCTTTCAAAAGTGAAGCAAAACAACACAAACCTTCATTTGCTTTAAGTCATCAATGCTCACATTAGGCACAAGCGCAGCATCTAAAACAGCAGCAAAAAAACCTCAGTGTTTGGAATAAAAACAGGATGAGTACGTTTAAAAAATCTATAAGAATTCAGCGTTTACCCTTCTTGTTCTCGTTTGTGTTGTTCTGGACAGAGTTGGAGGTCTGGGCCATATCTGAGCTGGCTTGTTGTGTCACACTGGCTTTCCCTGTGTCTCCTTTTCCCTTTCCCTTCTTGTCATTCTTTGAGCTTCCATTGGGAACATCTGCTATGTCATTCTGTGAGACGAAGGGTAAAGTTAAAATAGGAAGGTGTTTTTATTGTGAAAAGGCAGTTACTCTTTCCATTTGTTGTGGGTACCGTGTCAATCCCCAGGGCCTTCATCTGGTCGGCTCTCTTCTCCGCTATGGTCAAAAACTTCTTTGGATCTGATAGAGCATCCACAATTGCTGCATGCAAAAATATTGAAAAAAATAAAACAAAAAAAATACAGTTGTAAAAGTTCAATATCCTTCAGATAAAACAAGTGAATAAACAGGGTGGGGGGTACAATCATATCAAATGAAGAGGATTCAATTTTGAGCAGTGCTGTACTGGATAGGGAGAGAAGCTAATAGTCTCAGTAATGGCTCTACACTCAAAGCCTCTTGGCTTTATTTAATGGCAACTCCAATTGTCCAACTCATTTGTATGCTTGTGCCCGTATGAAGCAGTCTGCAGATTTACTGTCGTCATCATTTGTGCCGTGCCATTACTGCAAATGTTAAAGCTAAGCCACCCGGGGCACAGGATGAGAAGAGACTTGCTAAACTTTCCATTTCTCCCCTGCTCTCCCTGTAGGCTACAGACGCCTTTTTATTATCAGCCATGAATAATCTGAGGGGAGTTAAATATTGCAAGTCAGAATGAGAGCCACTTGTAGTTCTCTGTTCAAAAATAAAAAACTTCAAGTGAATAAATGCACGTGTCGCTGTGGGTGTGTGTGTAGTCCTGCTGCCCTCACCTCCGAAGCCGTCGGGCACGTACGTCTTGAGGATGATTTGGCAGAAGACGGTCGGCAACGACAGAGGGTTGTTGCCTTCGTTCCTCAGGGAGATGTGTCGGTAGCCAGCCTGCAGCCCGTCCAGAGGCAGGATGCGCTGGCCAATCAGCTTGTTGTTGTCGTCGTACACCGCGATGCGCAGCACCGCCAGATCTGGTAAGATTACCTAGAGGTAGGGATGTTAGGAGAAAGGTTGGGAGGGAGGAAAATGTTTCTTTATTTAAATAACGGTGCGAGAAACATATAGAGCAAATAGTGAATAAAATAAAGCAGCCAAATTTCATTTAAAGTAGTGAGTCAAGGATGAAACTGGGGGCATTACATGAAGAGATGGAGAGCAGTGTGCTACCGATGAGGCCATGTGTTGTGATCAGTGTGTCTTTAGAAAAAAAACTAGGGAATAAATGTGTTAACTGGTTCCGTGTTGGGAGATAACTGCACATAAAGGGAGGATAAATGGATACAAAGGAGATGAAGCTGGAGATCAGTGGTTGGAGGCACCGTGTGTGTGTGTGTGTGTGTGTGTGCGCGTGCATTTCCATTGACATAGTACGAGTACTGCTGATGTGTACTGTTTGCTCAGTCATCTTGACAGCAGTATGTAAGCACTGAAGGTACAGCAGCATCTGCAGGCATTTGTAAGCATGGACGTGAAACGAGAGACCCGGCAGCAGCTCCGGGTATGATGGCCCTGCTTTGATAGCAGTGTGTGTGTATGTGAGAAGGAGAGAGTAAAGCAGCACTGCGGCAGGGTTTGATGGATGGTGTGTGTTAGAAAGCTGGAGTCACAGTCATGGCTGAGAGACTTCCTATTCTGCTGAGAGCAGCACTATTATCTACACATGGCTTTCTGTCTCAGGTCTTTCAGTTTCTTGTTTCTCTTCTTTATCTGTAATTATTTTTTTCTTTCCTTGTTTCTACGTCATTTATTTTATCCTCATTTCCATCTTCATCTTTGCTCAGACACAAACTAACGTACACCTCACAATTTGCTCCACGTTGCCCGGCGTTGCTTTAGGATACTAGAAATAAAGACTGTTGAAGCCTGCAAAAGGCTCGCTAATGGGACAGGAGGACAACCCAGATCAGGATCAGCTCAAGCTTTTAGGAAGTTTATTTGCAAAAAATACTTTTGAAAACCCATGCGCTGATTCCTTCTACTACAAAATTATGAACCATTTTGTGTTGGTTTATCACAAAATCCCCCAAAAATTCATTGAAGATTGCCCTGAGAATTGGAGGATTTTCAAGGTCTGGATATGGACTATTTGTATTTATGCCCTCCCTCGTTGCATAAATGTTGTATTCATAAGTAAACCAATCCTTTCTTCATTCTTCCCCTCCTTTCAATTTGTAATAATACCAATAATACATGGTTGTGATATATTTACTAGTAAAGATCACAACTAGACAAGTCTGCATGCTTAAGGTGCTGGATTTTGTGTACTAGTGGGAGATGAAGAGTTTGCAAAAGCTGAATTCATGGATGTAGTGGATCAGGAGTAAATTGATAGTAAACTTTTTGATTTTTATTTTAAAAATGGACAGAAAAAGTTTATATTTTTGCAAGAGCAGTGCAGTCTAATTTGAGAATGACATCATCTAGTCTTGCTTCATACCTTTCTGAAAACAAAGGGCTCTTCGTTGTAGGCTGGATTCAGTCCATTGTTCATCACCATGCGTGTGCGGAACTCTTTCCGGATTGTATCCGTAGGCAAGCCGTACATATCAACTTCAACGTACGTGCCAATTTTTTTGTCAGACAGAAACTGTCCTGAGAACACCTGAAATTTAGCAGGAAAACGCAACTTAATGCAGATTTCACAAAGAAATGTTAGTGAGGATAAAAATGATAAACATGCTGCTGTTCCTGTTGTAATAACAGCCGCCGGTATTCTGATGGGCTAACCTGGACGCTGCAGGTTGCTGCAATGACGCCATCCACCGGCGTCTCAGAGAACGGGTCAAACGTCCTGTCTGACCGACGCATGAAATCTGGCTTCAGCAGGTACCTGAGCACAGGAACAACAAAATCACCTCTGGGTAAACTCAATGAATGCTAATATTTTGAAAATCACACATTTCTACCAATATCAGAGAGAGAAAAACCATTAGACACTCCACATTAGAAAATATTAATAATGATGGTTGTCTGCAAATGCCCTGCTCTCCTCGCAGATGACATTCCTAGTATTAGCAGTACAATCCCTGCCCTCAGGGACAGTATTAGCCGAGGAATGGAGACAGCAATGGGAGGAGGAAGATGTAAATGAATTCAGAGAATAGTGAAAGGGAGCGTCCTTTTCCAAAGCACTTATTGGCTCTCAGGGGCAAGTAGTAGCTACTGGCAATAAGTAATGAGATGTGACAAGTTGTAATTGATGAGCCTTAGAGAGAGGGAGATGGAGGTGGAGGGGGGAGGGGGTCTTCTCTGCTCTCACCCACAACAGCCGTTGTACTCAAACTTTCCTTGGTTCAGCTGCATGGCCAGATCTGAAAGAGCATTGGGGAGAAAGAAGAGATTTTAATAGCTTTAGAACCACAACAAATCTAAAATTATGAAGACAAAAACCCAATATGAAAACAATACATTAGAGTACTGGCAAATGTTTTAGGTTTTTGGCTGAAAAGCAGAGAGATATTTATTTCTTTAACATCTTTGCTCTTAAATAATCTACTTCCAAGAGCTCCACCTCCTTTGTAAAAGGCCTCCAGCTCTGCACATGCCCTGCACACAGTGGACCATATGGTCAAGCCGCTTTTGCTTCCAGATACAGAGCAGCAGCTGCTGTTCAGTAGGCATAACACAATATATATATGTTTGTGCACAATTTAAAAATGTTAGTTTCATAAGAGACTTGCACAGTCAAAAGCTGAAAAATAAACAGGAGCAACTGTGGAGATGAGACTAATATATAAAGTGTCAGCAGGTTGGTTATGTTAATATTTGCACAAGAGACTCAAACAAAACGCTGCTTGTTCTTCCTAGCTAGGAATGTAAACCTGAAAATAAGTACTGCATATCAATTCATGCAACAAGAAAATGAAAAACTTGACAGTATGATGCAAAGACAAATGCTCCTCTTGTACTTTTCCACATTTTCTCATGTAACAAGTACAAACTTCAGGAATTTCAGCAGGGTTTTTTGTAGTAGACTGAAACAAATTAACATGTAATTGTGAAGTGGAAGTAAAATTATACATTTTTAACCATGGACTCTACAGCATCTATTTGTATTCACCCTCCCTGAGTGACTATTTTGAAGGAACACATTTTACTGCAATTACAGTGAAGCTTTGCACATCGAGACATAAATTCGAGGATCATTGACCTGCTGGAAAATTAACTTCCACCCCAGTTTTAAGTTTTGTGTATCATCACTTTTTCCCATGTTAGTTCTGTTTATTAACTGACCAGGTCCTCTGTTGCATGTATAGACAAGCATCCCCACAGCATGATACTGCCACCACTAGGAGTGAAGCAGAACTTCTTAAGGTTTTCTTCAAAACAATTTACTTTTCCCCACTCTTTCATAAATAGATTTTATTCAGGGGTATCAAAGTATAGTGGGCTTATGCTGCACCTTTTAACTTTTTTTTATGAATAAGGATCAGAAATCTTGTCATTTTTCTTCCATTTTACAGTTATTCACTGTATTGTTTAAGTTTGTGGTTGTAATGCAGCAAAAATGAAAAGTCAAGGCACTGAACATCAAGTAATGTGATTTTTGTGTAAGTGATAATGTTGACAGTACATATAATAAATAACATGCAGCATAAAACATTAGGTCACATGTGATGTCTGAACAAAAAGTGTTATCAAACACATTTTAATTCAAACTGGGTGCATATCATGCTCTTATTCCTTTCCATCATCTTTAGCAGCTGATTAGCGTGTCCTCCTTCAACCACGTCATGTGCATAAGATACCATAAGATCAGAGGTGCTTTTCTATATTTCGGGAACACATTAAATACACACGTGTGTGTAAGAGAGGGAGAGGTCAGAAGTCCCATGTTGGATGCTGTGGTACCTGGGGTCTGGAAGTTGAGGGAGACCATCTGGCAGCCTGCGTTCCAGAAGATCTGAGGCATATAATTACTGGAGTCCACCCTGCCTCCTTTGGGGTAGATACGGCTCATCTGACGCTTGTTGTAGCTGCACTGATGCTCAGGAAAATTTCAAAAGGGATTAAAAAAAGAAGGAGAGCATGTGTGTTTCTGCACATGTGAGTGTGTGATTAAAAATGTGTGCATGTCTGTAACAGCAATGGAAAATGCAGATGGTCGAACAAACCAACATGACTTAGCAAAGACATAAAGCTTGAGACGCTGCATGTTCTGTTTGAACAGAAAGCACAGAAAAATATGCAGCTGTAGTAACCAATGATTTACGAGATCTCTATATAGTTTAAAGAATGAAGGTGTACTTAGTAGTGCTGATCATGATATCATAAGGTGTGTCCATTAAGTTTTTCAAATCTAAAGGAGCAGTAATCTCAGTGGCTCAAAGGATACTTGACAAACTCGATGGCGTTGGTCTTCAGATAGCCCAGGCCCACTGACTCGTTGAAGGATGACATGTTGTGGTGAATATTCCTCTCTGAAACACACAAAATAGGACCAGAAATGGTAAAATCAGGCTCTTTGCCTTGGAAGCTGTTTTTCTGCTCTCCACATCAGTGTACAGAAAACAGAAAACAGTAATGATCCTCACCTTCTGCAACATCAAAACCCTGGAACTTCACCGGCTGTGCATAGTTGACCATGGCTGAGAGATACGGGTGGATATTTGTGGTGGCTGACTCATATTTATATTGCGCTATCAGAGCCTCCTCAGAGTCCTCCGCCACGTCTCCGCCCTGCACACAACACAGCAATGGTTATATAAATATCTTCCAAAGACCTCTACACAGTAAGGAGAAGCATCGGCGGGTTCTTGCCTTCTTGTTGTTGTCTTGATCAGATGCCTCAGAAATATCTGTGGCGTCTGTTGCTTCAGAAATCTCTGTGACCTCATCATCAGGTACCTGGGGGGAAAAAAAAGGTCCAATCATGAGGAGCCCTGTGATTTTTACAAATATGGCTAATCTGACTTCATTAAAAATATTTATCAACATCAGTTGCTGTAACTTCATGTAATGTTTACTGGAACTAAAACTGAGGAAGTCGGAGGCAGGAAACATTTCAATGACATTTTCAAGATGCAGTCAATGGATTGTTTTTTTTTGTACCTCATGAATAATTTAACATAAATGTGATTTCCTTCCCCCTATTGGCTACTATTTTGCAGCGAAATGTGAACAACTCCAGCTTTCAAAATAAGAATTTGAGAAATTAAACTGGAAAAAACGGCGTAAAGCTGTATAATCCGTCTATCATTTGTTCTTTCCATTTTGACAAATATAAATAAAAAATTAAGCGATTTGTTCATGAATTGTATGCACAAAGTAATTCAGTTGGCATTTAAATGAAGTCAATATATTTAACAAATTTTTTCTTCCAAATTTTAGACAATTTTATTGAATTTGATTTTGAAGTGTTTGATAAATGCAAAAGCTTACTGTGAAACATTTGAAAATAATTATAAAATTGAGAAAAAAAATGTCAAATCAATTGAGGAATCAAAAACTTTGACAGAAAACCAAATCAATATTTCAAAAAGTTGATTCTATAAGAAATTTGTCAACATTCAGGTGAGGAAGAAAAAATAGCTTACCTAAACATTGTTTAATGCTATGAACTTAGTATGCATTATTTTCTAAATCAGTCAAAAGCACACAAATCTTGAGACAAGCATGTTATACAATAGTTGCAGGTATATTAAAAAAATCCAAGAGTAACATCATAAATGTTTAAGTTAATTGCTTTTGCTTCTGTAAGATTTAATTTTGGTCTATGAAATGATCTGAAAAGTGCAAACTACAAACAGCTTTTTGCCCAAATCTGATCCTCAAACTACAGACTGACCTTTTTGATGCTGTTGCTGCGCTCTTCCTCTTTTCCAGAGCTGATGACGTTGCTCTGGGAAACACTGTTCGTCTCTTTCTCACTGGTGACTTCTGACAGAATGCTGGGAGCCTCTGAATTCAAGTCTTTATCTTCAGCTTCTTTTTCCCCTAAACCAAGACACATAGTATGAAAAGAAACTTAGTTACTCAAATGTATGTCAGTCCCTTTTCTTTTAATAAACAAATTAACTATATGGAGTTTTTCTTTTACACAGAATCAGACATTTTTCTTGAAGAACAGTGCTGGTCAGAAGGGAACATATAATTAACATGGCTATAAATGTATTAATTCAATTTCAGTACAGCTTGTTGTATAACTCCAAAAAATGAAAATTTAAAAAAGCTAAACTGATATAAATACATTCTGGAGAAGCATTTTATACTCCGACAAGACAAATATTTTTTAAGAGCAATGTGAGGCTATAAGCCTTAGAATACTGTAACAAGCATGGAAGGGGAAGCATGATGCTGTGGGGCAGACTTGCTACATGTGGTATTGGTATATTGCACAAAGAATTATTGCATTTGTATCATTATGCGACTGAAACAACTACTCAACTACATAATTAGAAGCTGAATATAACATTTATAACCAAGATAATCACAGTTGTATCCAACATATTGATATGCCTGTCCAATTGGTCAGTTTACACAAAAACAGTTAAAGTTGTATTCAGCTGACCGTTCTCTGCGTCGTCCTCATTCTCCTCTCCCATAATGATAGCAGGAGTGTTGGTCTCGCCGGCCTCCATGTGCTTCTTTAAAGCTTCAAGTTGCCCTGTGTCACACATTCACAATGTTTGTAGTTTCCAAACTTAACGTCACATGATGATGAAGTTAAGCGTCTGCACTTTATACGTACTCTGCTCCACTTCAGGTTTTAATCGCTTATTCTTTATTAGGATTTTTCTCTTCAGGTCGTTTGGTGAAGGTAAAGGATGCCCAGGATCCATCTGAAGACAGGCAGAGAAAGACATGACACAATCCCAATTCCGTGACTGCTTGTTTTATATAGTGGGAAGAAATTTCAGTGAGAGAAAGAGGAAAACTTTACTGGGTAGTTCTCCAGAGGCTGTCTGAGAAGGAGGTCGCCAAAGAGCTCCTCACAATACTTGGCCATCTTATACTGCTGTAGTTTACTGGAAATAAACAAAAATAAAATACAGTGAACAAAATGACATGTTATTACAGTAGATATGTTAAAAACATTAATGGAAAATGTACCTGCAATGATTTTCAAATGATAAAATAACAGGATAATCAGATGTGACAAACGCCGTCTCCTTGATTGCTTGGATCACATCCTGTGGGGATGAAAACAGACATAAAGGAGTTAGGATATGCAGTTTCAAAGTATGAGCACCAGGTGGCAGAAGGCTATAATAATAATAAAAAAAAAAACAGCACTCATTTCTGTCGTCTCCACTGTGTGCACATCATTTGAAAGTCTTTTTGAGCTTGGCGGGCTTGATACGTTCTTTTATGATGGTTAAACCCAGATATTTGTAAAGACTTTTTTATTTATCAAACAGAATATGTTTGGTAATCCTAACTTAAAGCAAGAAAAGTTTAATCTGATATGATGTCAATGAGTAAAAAGGTTGTTCATAGTTTTACATAAGTAGAAGTAGTTATCTGGTTATGCATGTGACAAAAGTGGATCCCTATGTTTGGTCCCTAAACCATCTGGAGGATACAGTAAACAAACTTTCTGAAGAAATTTAAACGGGGTCTGCCAAAGTGTGCCCGTTGGTTAGAACCCAGCCTACTGATGCTAATAATTAGCATCAATGCTAAAGTAAGCTACAATGTACTCAATAGCATGTGGAGAGTCACAAGCATGTTGAAAAAAATATGGACTTAGTCCATTCAGTATGTTAAAATTAGTGTAGAAGCTAAAATTAGCCAAAATGTTAATGTTAGCCTAAATGCTGCCAGTGACATGTGGGTTATAACTAGCATGTTGTCTCCATTCGGTGTAATAAACATGGCAAATAATAGCTAAAAAGCTTATTTTAGGGAAAAGGATACTGCTAATGTGGGCAGTAGCTACTGCTAATGTTTGTGCTGATGTTAAAGCACTGCCTTCGGATTTTTACTTTTGCAAAAGTAAAAATCAGATGTTTACTTCGTGGCACTTGGTTACTAGAAAACATGCTAATCTCTTAGCAACAGATTAACAACAAATACTGTTATTGTAAAACAACAACATAGGATTTCTTCTGCTCTTTTGAAATACTACTTATTATATACTACTTATCAGTAATTGTGCAGTTGGTGAATTTTTCAGAAAAGTGAAAGTCCTTTTTTTTTTTTTTGTCATTGGTGGTAAACATATTATAAACACAAAAGTACAATTCGGATTTATAATTCGTGGCAGTTCGTTACCAGAAAAAAAAAAAAAAACGCTCATCTCTCAAAACTAAATTATCGTTTATAAAACATAAGCTATTTTGAAATACTGATTATCTGCTTAGACACAAGAAATTTACAATCTGTTGGATAAAGAAAGCAGAACCCATCTATGAACAGAACTGACTATTGGATATATTAGCAGGTTCTCCACTGCTGTGGTGATTTACCTTGAACAGGATGTCTGTGCACATGGCCTTGCCATGAGTAATGATGGGTTCCTGGTCCTCCCCTTTGCCATCCCAGCAGTCCAGCTCCACACATCTGATAAATAAGCAAGTGGAAATCTTCCTGAAGTACTCAAATTGCACAATGGGTCCATTACAAATTATAAACAGGACATTATGTACATGCATAACCACATTTTAGCTTATTTTACATCAATGCAGTTTATGAAGAACAATAACTTTTTCTGCAAGTTGTGTTTATGAATGACTGACTGGAGCTTTATAAAATATGGCACATTAGTCTAGCATTTCAGCAAACTGTTGTCCATATTTAGTGTGTATCTTGCACTGCTTTAAAGTTCAGCTTTGGAAAAAATTAAGAGGCCACTTAACATGATCAGTTTCTCTGAATTTATTTTTATTCCATGAATTACTGAAGTATCTGTGAAATTCCAAGCCAAAATTTAGTATTTATTTGCAGAAAATGAGAAATGACCAAAATAACAAAAAAGATGCAGTGTTTTCAGACCTCAAAGAAAACAAGTTCATATTAATTTAGAAATGATTTTAATGTTTTAACTTGGGAATAGCTCAGAAATCAATATTTGGTGGAATAACCATGGGGATTTTAATGGGGTTCAGTGCAGTGGACTCTTAATTTTTCAAAGCTAATGTAAAATCAATACATGGCATTGATTTTTTCATGCGTCAGATTGAGACTCTGAATCAGAAAATGTTTATTCTTAAATTTTATAGGCAGAGAAAGATGTCTATTCATTATGCTTAGACTGTGTCACTGTGTAATACCTGCATCCGGACAGCAGGACCTGGCGGTACATCTCCACTGACGACTTCCCTCCAAACTGTCTCCCTGTCAGGTATGTATTGTGGGAGGAGCTGATAAAGTAATGAGCCAAAGGCTGATCCATGTCTTGGTACAGCTCTAGTCTGTCCAGGAACACCGGAGCATTTTCGTCTGACATTAGGTACCGACAGAACCCGTCACTCGACATGCAGCCTAAGAGGAGGAAGACGAGATGAAGATGGCTTTGTGATTATAATAAATTAGCCAGGTTTAAATTAAATAAATACCCGTTTCTGTAGCTTCCAGACTACACAGGCAGATGGCAGCAGAGGCAAAGAAAAGCCTGTCACCAGATTTCATTCATACATTGCTTTTACCTTTTTTCTTCAGCTCTTCGTCCCTTTCATATTTCTCGATGATTTGCATGGCTCTTTTGGGGTCGTAAAATGGAAACAGAATCTCATTTAACCTCGGGTCACGTTGGTTCTGCAGAGCAAGACACGAGCACAGGTGTACATCACATGTACGTTACGTCCAGGTCCTCCCAACATAAACGCTTCTTAAAAAAACCATGCATGTCAACACTTTCAGTAGAATTTAAAACTCAATTCATATCAAGGATTAATTTTGTGCAAATGCTTGGAGAACTTGTGACTTTAATTTCAGATATTTCTAACACTAGCATGTCTTCAACAGGATGGCATTTAGATCGTAGGGCAAAACCAATCACTACAAAAATAAGTGCAGAGTTAAAAATGATTCATAACAAGGCAGTCATATGTGCTGGAAGGGTTGAAAGCAGCTCTAACAAGACGTTACAGTGACGGAGCACATTCTTGTAGGCAAAGAAGGAATGAATCCAGCTGAGTCCAGAGCATGGAGCAGCACAGACATGACTGGACAGCAGATGCAACAAGCAGGTATTCAGCCACACACAGGAGGACGGCCGCAAAACACAGACACACAGCAGGAAGCAAGATGAACCAAGCCAGACGCAACAGGATGGAAACCTCTCCTCCTGTTGTCATGACAACACCAATCAGACAATGGGAGGCAAACCTCGCTAAGGGAGAGCGGGAGGAACGGGACGAGAGGGGGCATGCAGAGTTTGGTAGCTGGTGGAAGTTGCCGCTCCAGGCAAGCTGAATGTTTAATTGGGTTTCAATGATGGCTGTCGTGTCGGAGGGCAACTTCTATCCACAGCAGGAAGGGAAGAGGAGGCAGGGTAGGGGGGGCAGCAGAGAGGGGCTGGCTGAAGCCAAATACACAAAGAAGTTAATGAATGATAAAGAGCTTACTTCATTCAGAAAGCTGACTAACTGGTCTACAGTTAAATAATCTGTTTTGTTCCCATTGCTGCAAAGGAATTATTGGAAAAGAAAAAAAATATTGTTATAACTCTTAAAACGGACATCCACACACTCATCCACACAGTCAGTTAAAGTGAGAAAGTGTTTTGTGTTACACTTTTTAGTCCAAATTTGTTAAACATATCTCTTTATGTTCGAATGTTGCCAGTAGGTTGATCCTAATTCAGTGCTGAACTGAAAGCAGGTTAGGCTGTCCAGGCGTAGTTAGTGCAGCAGGAGCAGAAACATTTATCCAAATCAAACCCAATGTCACCCAACAGTTCTCACTTTTATTTCAGAGTAGATTATTGAAACAACAAAGTGTTATTTTTTATTTTTTTGTTGATCCATTCTATTCCTGGTTATGCTCAAAGCCGGTGAACTTATCAGCTACACAAACAAGCATGCAGGAGAGTTTAAAGCAGGACAGCTTACATTTTCTTGAAGAGCTCCTCTATATCTGTGCGAGGGCAAATCTTCTGTGTCAGCGCGTAGAAAATGTCAAAGGTGAAGTCTGAGGGTTCAATCTCGTCATTCTGCAGCCATGTACAGAAACACCACAGACTTTAAGATTCATTGCATAAGAAGTGATCAAATGGAAGTACCTGGCTCTCGCTTTTACCTTTCCACTGGGAAGACCTAGATCCTTCAGAGCCTGAAAGATCCCTTTCTCTGTCTTCCCTGATGCAAAGGTTCTTGTGATACTAAAAAGGAGATGAGAAAGTTAAAAGTAGCAAATCAAAGAACCAGTTCTCAGACACAAGCGGTGTAAAACTGTGGCAGAGATTTGTTGGCAAAGTTCAAACCCTCCAAAAGATCTTAAGGAACAAATGCTCTATAACATAAACGATGTTTAGATTAAGCTATTCTACAAATAATTGGCAATCATCTACTTTTTTTTTATAAAACAGTTTGAAATACAAAAACAACTTTCCTTCACCTTTACAATTTTGCACTATTATATTAGTCTATCACATGAATTCCCAATAAAATAATCATTAGGGCTGCAGTGATACAAAAGGTAAAAATAGCTAAAAGTTTAATAAAAATACTTAAGCAAGTGTTGAGATTAGTAAATTAGTTAAATCATTATGACTACTATTAGGTGTTGAGATGCTTTACCAAGGCCGAGAAAGAGTCACACGCTGTTAGACAAAGGGCCCATAGTAAAGAGTTACATTTTTGATTCTGTTAGACACCAAGGTCCATTTCTCACGAGAAACAGAAACTTATCAGGCCACAGAGACATGGTGTGATTTCAGGGAGCGTCTTCAGTCCATATAATCAGCTGCCCTCCTCTTTCTCCTCAGACGCTGCACAGACTTGTGTAGAAGCTCTTCTCGGATGTAATGGTAAAGCGTCTCCTTTCAGCGCTGAAAGTTAATAAAATAAGTAAAGTCTGAATGATTTTCTTGGCTGATTTTATGCTCCGAGTGTCAATACAAATTATGATTCATCGATTGAGATTCTAAATCTCAACACAAGGCATTGGAAACATGTTGAGAAATGCATAAAAATTATTCTTACCCTCTAACAGGGATCTTCCCGTTGACATTGGTCAGGAAACACATCCTCATCCAACTAAATAAGTAAATTTAAAAGCACACAAAAACAAAACCAATCAAAGAAAAGTTCAAAAAGAAGTCATGGGTTAATCCCATAGACTTTGCAGGCAGATCAATTTCTCTATAAACACTCCAGTGTAAAGGGTTTACAGTGTTTCCCAGTATTTGGAGCAGCATAAATACACTCACTGTTTCTTGAGGCATGTCATTGGACACACGTTGTTGGCCTTAAAGTTGTGGATCACCGACCTCAAACCCTCAATCCATTTCTGAAAACAGCCAAGCATAAGTATTAAAAATTACACATGAGCACACTGCTGCCCCCTACAGACAGCGACCCACAAATAGAAGACACTAAAGGTCCTAATTGAATTGTGTTGAGAAAAACTGTCAATAAAAAAACCTCAATTTACACAACAAGGCAAAACATCCTAGAAATGTACTAAATAGTTGAAATTAAATCAGACAATTTTCTCATTATTAGCTACTTTTCACAGGTTGAATACTGAAAAATAACAGCATGTAACGTCACACACTTATCCTGAGTTGAGTAAAAATCAGATTAATGTTTAGGATTTATACTTTGATGTTTCATGATTCTCTGGTGGATTCCAAAATCACTTTCTCTGTTAAGGAACCCACATTGCTCTTTTCTGTGCTACAGTCCAGAGAACAAAAAATGAGAACCAGTCCAACTGGATTTAGCATGCCAGACTTTTAAAAAAAGATTATATAGTGGTACCTCTTCTTCATGTACAATAATTTCCAAATCACAAAATACTTAGGCGACAGTTGGCGCTCATCTAAAATCTAAAACATGGCAATAACAAAAAGTGAAAACTATCAGCAGATAGTCTGGTGGAAGTTGCTCCTCCAGGCTCTTCTGTATCTCGTCTCAACAAGATACAGAAGAGAAGCGACAGAGAAAACGATTCATTCAAATGCGTCTCTTTATCACAATGACTCAAGGCCGTGTGTAGGAGGGGGAATATACATCACCCTGCATTCCCTTTCCTTTCATTCTTAATGAAATAGTTACTCTGTGTGGGTGCTGCTTTGGCCTTTATGTACAGTAGATTATTGAATTAATTTTGGCTACACTCCAACTGCTGAAAAGCCTTTAGGTTGTTTTCTTTTTTTTTCCTTTTTGCAACATGCTTTGTGACCCTTAGATATTTCTGGCTTTGTGCATTATTAACCAAAGTGCCATGCAAAACAGATCAGGTGGGATCCCAAATATATTTTCTAATTGACTGAGACAGGATTATATTGTTTCCTGTTCACTCCTGTATCGGCACCATTTGTGTAATACGAAGGTTTTGAAAACAACTGCGTGCATTTACCCTGGCTGTGTCGGGGCTCTCTGCCACCATGAACATGAAGCTCAGGTTGACCAGGTCAGTGCCGCTGCAGATGCAGATGATGCATCCCTCCAGGTCGGCCTCAGTCTTTCCTATGGCCTCGAATGAGGACAGGATCTTTGGGTCCTGGGAAAATAAGGAAAGATCAACAAACTGAATACTGAACACGTCATCGAAGGTAAGCAATTTTGCTTACCTTCGATGACGTGTTCAGTGTTCAGTTAGGAATGTGACAAAGAGGGGCATAGAAATATCCTTAAAAAGTAATTTAATGTGCTTATTTACACATTCTAAATAATAATAAATTACGAAATGCTAAACAAAATGCATACAGGCAGTCTATCTCATTTTTACGTCATTATTGTGATGATTTTCTTAAGTTTCTTTTAACTGCCTCCTAATTTTATGACAAGGTTGCAATGTAGCTCATAAGTTTACATGTACTTATGGGAATGAATGTCACTAATTGTGGGCCTTTAATGATGACTCTGAACAGTCATTTTATTGGGTTGTTGATAACATCACATTTCAACACATTAAAAGTTGCTACACCAGGTTGAATTTTATGTATATTTTCCTCTATAACAAAAGTTATGCACACAACCTCAAGTATATACATGCACCCCCACTAATGTCTACATAAATATTACATCTTGAAAGCTATACTTTTTGTAGCAAACATCAGGTTTCTGCCATAATTCTGGCTGGACATCCAATCCTGACTTTTAGCAGAATTGGTAGAGCTAATATAAACTGGTTATGAACTCAATACAATATTGAAGTTCAGACCAATTTAGAATCTTAATGTTGGTCTGAATTACGCATTCCACTAGCCAGTTTCGATGCGTTTCAGTCATTGTCCTGTTGGAAACACTCAGCTACATCCAAGTTTCCACAATCTGATTTCCACCAGTTCCTGGAAAGTACAATCTCCAGCCAGAATTATAAGAGGCAGCATGTGGTTTCTCTGCACCCAGCAAAGAGACATTTATCCAAATTGTGCAGGGGTATGCCTATATTTCTATCCATAATTTTCAACCTGAGTGGATTAGACAAAAAACTGGATTAAATTCAAACATTGGCAACCAATTTTACCTCACTGTTTACAACAACTCCAAAATTAAATAGCTAAAATATATAATTATACTGCCAAATGATGAGTGTAAATACACCGACAGGCTGGGAATGACTATTCTTCCAGTGGAGAGTAAAATCCATCCACAAAAAAAGAGAGAAGAAAATCACAGCGTCAGTTGTCCTCCTCTCATGGTTGTAATCAGACATCAGCTTTGTCACCACAGGAGAAACTAATGTGTATTTGTTGTATGATCGAATTAACAGCAACAGGCGTTGCAGCTTTAAAATCCCAGCCGGCTATCTCATCCATCTCCTCTTCCTCATTGGATTATTTGGAACAGCTGTGCCGTCCTTTGTGGAGAAGCCCTGCTATCGCCTTCCTGCCACTTATGAAACACCGTGCAGCGTTTGAACAAACACAAGGCGCTGCTATCGAACTGCAGCATCTGCATACGTGTCCACACATACGCACGGTGACCGTGGACCAAACAAACAGGTTAACATCAAAACATCTGCACCCGATCGGTAACGTTTGCAGCACTTCTCTACGCAGTCTTTTGCAGACTTTCAGCTGCTTGATGAGTTTGTATACAGATATTGATATAAAGCAGGAGCCCTACCCCTAAGTTTAGAAGCATCTAATAACAGCGTCCATAATTCATACAGTTGGAATCGAGTCAATATTACATTTGATAGTGCAGCGAATGAATCAATATTTAATATACAGAGAGACCCTAAAGGTTTATATTTGTGTGTGTCTGGCTTGCTGATTGGTTGCCAGATGCAGTGAAGAAGCCGACTCCTGGTCAGAATGTCTCTTCAGAATCACCTCCTGGACGAGGACGAGGATGTTTTTTCTTTTTTTTGTTCTGACAGAGACAGAACGTCTTATACCTGTGAGCTGTTGGCAGCGTATTATTACAGAGGCATCATTATCTATTTTTCCTCTGAGGGTCAAACAAACACAATAAAACATGATTCAAATACAGCCAGTGGCTGAACTCGTCCAGGGTTGTGTCAATATTGAGGTGTTAAATATTTAATGTTATGTATAAGTCATCAGTGAGAAGTCAGTCAGGATTATTAGGCAACGCTGAAATGCGCCACTGAAGCATTGGCTAATTTTAGACATGAATTATGACGCTTAAAAAACGGCCTCCCCAGATTTGTTGTTTTAAACAGGAGAGTCGCAGTGAGAAAACAAGCCTGTGTTGTGGGATGAGAGTGCAAGTTTCAGTGAAAGCAGAAGTGAGAAGCTTGTCTTTCCAAAAAGTCTCACCTTAGGGACGGCACCAACACGGATACTGTTGATAAGAGAACACTCGAGAACCTGGCCCTCCTGCGGGACACAAACATCGTAGGAGGGTTAAGAAAAAAACAAAATAACTCCATTCCGATATTTTAGCTTCAAATGTAAGGTAACAAAAAGTTACTGCCTAAAATTTAAATTAAAACTGTCAGAGGAAATGAGACCTACAAAAGTATTTAGCTAAGCTTAGCATCATCTTGCTGTGCCAATGGCAATGTTAGTGACGCCTAGATTTCACAGGTATTACAATATTTTTGACAGGAATCCAACTGGCAATTTAAATTGATTTTTTTCTAAACTCGAAGAAAAAACTTTTAAAATTAGAATTAGACAAATTTGGATTATTTTTTTAAACAATACCCAGAGTAGTGTAGAGTCATAGAACAAGAAAATTGTTTATTTATAAGTGATCATATAGGACTGTGTAACATTAAGAAATAAATTGTAGTAAAAGTAAGGATTTACTGTGGATTTTGTTTATTTCTGTAAAATATAAGTCATACCTTTATCGTATTAGTAAAGGCTGTAACTTTCTGCACTTTGCCAGCTTTTCTATGCTTTTGACTTATTTTTTTCAGGAACCGAAGTGCGGTCTGCTTCAGGAGGCTAGACCATTTCTTGAAACATAATATAAGAAGCTTTATGACTGAGGACAGAGTCTGGAGTGTCTCCTGACAAAAAATGATAGTTGAAAGACAGATAAGAGGAAAATTGTACCTTTCCCTCACTCTTCCATGTGATAAAGAAGCCATATTCATCCACCTTCATCTGACAGTTGGGCTCAAAGAGGTATGGGTCCTGAGAAGGAGAATTGCATTTTCATATTAGAGGCTTCATTGATCAAAGAGTTTCATTTGATGTAGCCTCACATTACACAACCTGCAAGGATTATACAATCAGACAAGAGGATGAAGCCCTAATATATTCTATAAGGCAAAAACCTTACACACACACACAGCCACCCACACACACACACAGACACACACACACGCACGCACGCACATGTTTGCGTGGCTATCTTTTTGGGGACTTTCTACAGCCTAAACCTTACCCTTATCCTAACTATTACATACCTAACCCTAACCAAAACTCAACTTAGTCTTAAATCTAACCCCTGACCCAAAAACAGTAGCCTGGTCCCCACAAAAAAGCAGTGGGTCCCCATAACGCAGTGTTAGAAAAATGATCCCCACAAGGTGGTATAAACAAACGCAGGCGCACGCACACACACACACAAGTAGAAACTTTTCCTTCTAAAATAATGCACAAAAATCATTCAATTTGTATGAATAGATAGTTTAATCTAGATAAAAATGATCAGTACAGTAAGTGAGATGTACAAATGTAAACATTTGGTATATAGGATTAGTGCTCCACTTCACATAAAGGAAATATAAATAGGAGTATACCTGTATATGAATAATTTCAATACTGAATATCAAAGGCAGAGCATATTATGAAAATTTTTATTCCCTTCCCCTCTGATCTGAGATGGCCAAACAGATTAAAAGGGAAAAAAAAACAGAAGGGGGTTGATGCTGAGAGGTCACTCTTTCTCTAATATTAGCAATGGGGAACAATGCCACACACAAGCGTACACGCACATCTACATGTAATGCATTATTTTAGGATGCCTGCTGCAGCCATTAGATACATGGCCACAAATGGGGCGACGCTGGCCTGTTTAGCTGACGTGTGTCATCTGAAACCACAAGAAAATGAAGAAAACATTCAATCTTCCATCCAGGAAGCAGCGAGGCCTCTGAGAGCTCGGCTAAAAGCTTTCAATTCACTTTCATCTGAATTAAGGCTGACAGGGACTTAATTTTACAACCTAGCCAGTTCTTTGAGGGAGATGGCAAAAGGGTGCGCTACTGCAGTAAGACTGGAAAACTAAATCTTATAATGACAAAGGAATCAAATATTCAAGGGAGAGACTTTCATCTCTAAATGGATGGATTCTGTCTTTCCCATCCAAGATGCCACATCAATGTGTGTGTGTGTGTGTGTGTACACACAAAACTACATTTAAAATGGAAAGCACAAATCTAGAAAGTGTGGCATGCACTTGTATCCAGTCCCTATCCTTTCTTCTGTTTCTTGGTCTCCATGATGCCGTTTGTTCACTAATGTTCTCCAGCAAACCTCTGAGGCCATGATAGGACCAAGCATTCGCCAGAAACCCATGCTTATGAGTGTTCAGCGTCTTGCAGTTCTGGCCCGTCACTCTCTGGGACGGGCCAGGGGAGGGATCCTCCTCCCCAGCTGTCAATATGAGGCTGCCTGGTCCCATAGAAACCAAACACCAGCCGCATCTTCAGCGATTGATTTCCTATCAGTGAGATAATGAAAGAAATATGCAGAGGAAGAAGCGCTTTGGCTCTTAGCATGATGAATTGCACTCCATCTCTTTAACCTTTCACTTCCATGGCTGCGGACTGTCAGAGAGGGGAAAATACATTTGAAATATCTCTAATAGACAAACACATTGTAATTACTACAGATCTATAACCCATTTAAAACCTTTCCATTGTACTTCAGAACACTTAAATGTTGTCGAAACAGGGAGGCAGAACCTCTATTAAAGTGGTGGAACTGCATTCTAACTGGAGTGAACATTTGATTAAAATTCAACAGGCCACTTAGAACATGTGCACATTACCTGCCTCCACCATCTGTCGCTCAGTGAGGTTTCAGACAGTGGGGAATGTTTTTGTGTGGAAACAAAAAAAAACAATCTTTCCTGTTTAGCGTGGTTCTGTGCCCTCATAAGTGACATGTTTATGTTGTTTCAGTCGACCTTAGATGTACCCTGCAATCTTTACAAAGTTCAACTTTCATCAGTTTTGTTTTTTCAGATATAAATAATCCCATTCTAGAATATAATTAGTCCTTAAGGAAAAAGAAAAAAAAAGCAGAGGTGAGATGAAAAGCTGACCTTATTAACATTCAGGCTGGTTCCATCATGTTCTGCCTCTGCTTGGCTCAAAGTTCACAGCAGCAACACATTGAGGACGCTCATCAAAAGTACAGCGACCCAGTTTTAATTGCTCTCTGACGTGACCGTGGATATGATCATGGCTCTCCACGCACGCTTTCATGTTTTCCACTGTGCTCTGAGAGGGATCCTCCTCCCCTCTCCGACAGCTGCATGGATGGAGAGGACTGAGGGGATTTCCTGGTGCATGCAGGGCGACACGCGTGTCTTTCTGCTGGGTGGGTGACACACTTTCCCTTTGCCTGTCAAATGTCCTACCTAAGTGCCCTCATTAAGTTAATCAGAGGAAATAGGAGCCAAAACAAGATGTTTTTTTTTAAGTCCGCTGTTATAATTAAACTCGGAGAATGTTTTCATCCAACTAGAATTATTTGGAGATAACAAACGCGCAGTTTACCTCATCAAACCTGTCGAAGGAGGCGCCTTCTTGCATGAACTCAGGCAGGTGCTTCTGCCAGTTGAACTCATAGGACTTTGTCATGGCTGCTCACAATCCTGAGACACAAAAGAAAAGAGAAAGAACAGGTTAGTCTAAAAACAAAATGTGCATGACAACTGGTAGTTCTATCTTGCCCCTTTGACTGACACACAATCTGTCCAAGGTGAACCTCTCCTCTTGCTCAATTACTGCTGGAGGACAGTAAAAAGAAAAAAACAAAAACATCTTTAAGGACTTTGAAATTCCACTAAAACCAGTCCCTGCAGGTTTCACCAACTCAAATTTAAGACTTTTTAAGACCAATTTAAGCCTTGTATTTCCACAGAAAAGTATATATAGCAAACTGCCGATACTTCTGCACTTACTATGGCAGACACAAAAAAAGCTATCTAGCTAACTAGCAAGAGGCCGTTAGCAGTGAGCTACCAGTTGCATAAACTGTCCAGAGTCACATGCAATGTCTGAGTGCGACTCAAACGTTTGAAGTCCCGCAAGAAAAACAATACATATGATTATATGAGTCCTGTCAAGACAAAATTTAATACCCGAGATAAACGTATTTAATGCAAACTTACGTTTTTAAAAATAAATTTAAGACATATTAAGGCCTTAATTTTAGATAGACGAATTTAAAACACTTTAAGGATGGGCGGACACCCAGTAAAAGTCCAGACCAACATGCACACAGTACAAACATCTGCTCAGGAGAAACGGCTTTATAATGTCAATTGTTTGCTTAAGGTTGGTTTATTAACATCCAATCAGGAGTTTAGCTGCACCACGCTCAACAGCAGCAACGTTATGGCCCGACTGTTAGTACAAGGCCTACAAAGGTTATAAAGTAGCTGAGAATCGATAACACCAAGGATTGACTAGTACATCCATATTGTTTCTATATGAATGACCCAACTGGGTTTACTTATGCAGTTAGTCTGAGAGGGGGCTTATTTGAAACCATGCACATTGAACACAAGAACAGCACTCATGATTCCTGCAGCAATTCATCAGGTCAATATAGAGCAATTAGGGAGCCTTTTTTCAGTCTATCAGGCACATAGATCTATTGTTGAATAATGACAGAAGCAGGTTGAGGAAGCAACACTCTACATCTTAATCTAACTCCTGGATAGGATTTGAACCTCATGGTTTATAGCTTTTTTAAAATCTTATTTTAAATGTCTGCATTTTAAAACGGCAACAAAAAAAAGCATCAAAAAGCCATTTGTTTCTTGTTTTTAATACCCATTTATAACAGGAAACTCAAATGACCTGGGTCACTGTGAAAAGACACAGTGACCCTGAACACACACCATGCCCTTTTCCAAACACAAATCAAGTCAGTTTTGATTCAAAAGACCACAACTCATGTGCTAGTTCACAGGATATTGTAATATTGTGGATGACACCACCCAAATGTGGCTTTGTCTTACATAAGCCTTAAATGTGTCAGGCAAAACTGTGAGGGAGCCATTTACATGAGGACGTGACATGCTATGTATAGTCTGAGAGCTCAGCTAATATTAAATTATTATAAGAATACTGTGAGGTTTGGTTATATTTTGATCAACTGTACACCAGTATCAAACCCTGATGGCCAGGCACTTTGGAAATTAGCCAAGGAGTTATCCAGAAGAGGTCGTCCTCAAGTGTGTCATGCACCAAATGCAGGGTGAGGCAAAATCATATACGTTTTTCAAGCTTGAGAAATCAGCTTTTTTTGAAACATACCCTACTGAGGGTAGTGAGGAAGAGACAGACAGGAGATAAACAAGAAGACTGAACAAATTACAACTCTGTAATCTGCTCTATCCTATTCTTTTGAATGTCTTTTGTAAAACATTTTTCTTCCTTTCATTGTGGCTTTTACATTTTTATGGAGTTTTACTTTCCGACTTCCAAAATCTGTGAAACCCTCTGAAGTCTTTCTTGGATCGTCTGGAAAAAATGTTCATGTTTGCTTGTTCCCGTAAGAAATTTTAAACGGACACAACAGCTTTGTTTTTGCTGCCCTCCAGTTTGCCTCACCTTTTTTAAGTGGTTACATGATCTGCTCAACAGCTCCAGCTGACAACTCCTATTGTAACCACGTTTCCAGTCAGTCAACAGACAGCGAGCTGTCTGTAACAGCTGACCATCAATCCATTTCATCCTCTACCTTAGCTAAGATGATGGCAAAAACAAACATTGCATTTTAAAGTAGAGAGCAAAATTCTTAATGACCCCTAAGAAACGTATTTTTCTGAATTTATGGCGTTACGGAGAGATACAAATCTCACTGTTGGAAAATGAATAGAGAGAAAACAGCTGTTTGTGACTGGAGAGGCTGTGGCTGAAGGTAGTAAGGGGGGGCATCTGGTTTTGATGTGTGAACACTGATCAGACAACAACAAAAGTCAGAGAAAATACCTGCTGGGTGGGCTATGGCCTCCCCCACCGGCAGATGTACTGAGAATGCTGAAACGTCTGAGTGCAGTCATGATGAAAACACAGAATAAATCTGAAAGGCTGAACAACTGGACAGCGGGTAGTAAGAGCTGATCTCACACCTACATAATGGCTCCAGACATTAAAAAATAAAATAAAATAAAATCTGCATTGGAAATGTTCAATCCTCCAGTGAACTAGAATCCAAGTTTAATACGCCCACTGATTACCAATGAGTGAGACTGAACGTTAAGGCCACAAGAAACAGCCGCCGCATAAAAAGAATAGAAAGACTGGGGACAAAATGTCGCTGATCCCAAATACAGACAGAACGCTGGTATAAATAGGCTGCATGCTGTTGAATATTACTGAATAAACAAACTTCAAATAAGTCTTAATTGAAAAATGTTATTATGAGTTTGATTGCCAAATTCATCAACTGCGGCATGTTTTGTTTTGTTTTTGTCCCGCAGTCCATGTTTTATATGACCATCTGAATTTGAATCTTGTCCAACAGGCATAAGACAAAACTTTAAGCCTCTGGCTGCAATCTTGTATATTTATCTTCTAAATGTTTATCAGTATACCCTGTCCCCATTTTAAATACATAAACTTAAAAGAATCTCCATCATTTCGTCAGTTTCTTTGTGTTCTGCGAAAATCATCAGAAGTAAATTGCCGGCACCATCACTAATTCTTATCACAACAATTTATTTTTTTGCCCCCTGGTGGACTATATAAACAATCCCATAGAGCCCAACCCTGCTTGTTTCCCATCCACACAGTAACAACTCCAAAACCAGATGACACGACTGAAGGAGCTTTAACAGCTGCTCAGTGCTACGGAAACAAAAACAGACAAAACGCAAGAAAGTTTGAGTCATAAGACCCAAAGACAAATGCAATGAAAATACATGAAAACGTTTTTATTGTGAAATGAAATTATAGTAATATAATTACAGTAATATAAACATTACTGAAATGTTAGCTACATAATCAGTTTTATTTTTATTTTTAGATTTGCTTCCTTGCTTCTCTGACAACATTTTACAATACTGATGCTGAGAGATAATTCCCGTCTCTAATTCAAACTAATTGGGTTGTGCTGTCCTGTCTGCCGTTAGCCTAGATCTCACCACGCTTCATAGTATGCGTTAGGTAACATTTTACTCAGCGGGATCAAATCCGTCCAATGGCAGTGCAGCGACTGAGCCTCTGCCAGGCTAGCCTGCGCGCCGGGGCCTCTGAGCGCCTCGATGTGCGAGTGCGCACGTGAGGAGCCAAGGAAAGCTGGAAGAAGTCGCTGAGGTCCGAGCCCCCTGTCTAACCCCTGACAATGAGATAATTACGACAGATCGGAGCCCCGCGAGGACCTCGCCTAAAATTGCAGCTAGGGTAACACCCAGCGGTCCCACACCTCATAAACTAAAATTAGGTTATAGCTACATCAGTTAGTCAGTGGTGGAGGGGTTGACTGGGGACATGCTCAAACGGACACATGTGACAACAGAAAGAGAGCGCCAAGTGATGGGGCTATCACAATAACCAAATGTGTGTGCATATCATACAGTAAAATACAGATAAATTAGTCATTAAGCACAAACTCAGAATAAAGGAGCAAGATAAGTCTGCTGTTGTAATACACTCCAAGTCTGCTCCTTGTTTATCTTTTCTCATCTCTGTGAGTCTGAAGGTTTCCATGTTTGCGGCTCACGTCGCCTTTTGCTGTGACATTAATGAGCGACTGAAAAGTATCAGCTCTAAGTTTTACAGACTGTAAATCTATTTTGGGAGTGTAGAGTGAGGTGAGATTAGATGAAAGCAGATGTGTTTCAGAAGCCTCTGCACACTCACATGAGTATTTTTAGTTACACTGACTCATTAGACATCTCTTCAAGTTTGGCTTGAATGTAGTATTCAACGAGGCATTCATAGTGAATGAATTTACAAACCATGTGTGAAGTTGGACTTGAATAGATTTTGATAGAAAGTTGGGCCTAAAAATAACCTTCTCAAGAACAGGTTAAAATATTTCTCATCGCTGCCAAAATTCACCTCATATGACCTATGATCTTAATACATGCTTAAGGGATTTCCTTGACTCAGTAATGCAAAATCACACATTTTATACACTGATCACAGATTTGTTTAAGATCTTCTTTGTAAGTGAAGCTTATTTCTTGAAAAATATATTTTATCTTCAAACCTTATAGCTAGTTCCCACATGATGTCACACTTCCAACATCCGGGTTCGCTGTCGCCATCTTGATAGAATGGAAGCAGCATTACTTTACTGATTGAACGTAAGAGAACTGCGTTGGTTGGATATTGTGGGATTCAAGGACGTAAAAACAAAGGTGATAAAACAGTACAGAGAAATGTTCATTCCATCCCGGGGATGTGAGCTAATTTTTATTATTTTTGTTTTGTGGGTTTGTTTTTATTGATCTGTACAGCACTTTGAGCTGCTTTTAGGGTGCTTTGTAAATAAAATTGATTGATTGATTGATTGATACTAAGCATTGAACGTCAACGACTGTGGCTAGCTGATATCCAGAAGAGACAAAAGCCATCTAATACAGAACAGATTTGCTCTGATCACTTCATGAGAGGTAAGGATATTTCAAATGTT